TATAGGATCAGGCTGAGCTGGTATAGTCATTCAAATGCTATCAAGATGTAGAACATACCTGCGGACTGATGAATGTTCAGTGAGTTTAACACAAATCTCACAGCACGGCGTAGTCCTAAGTGCTAACAAGAAGGCCACTATGCGAATAGACTCATATCTGAGCAATGGTTACAGGTCTACACAACGCAATATGGACTGCACGAATACTACTAACCTGATTCGCCCCAACTGTCCAGTTGCGTTCGTTCCCCTTAGACATTGTAGTAAGCCTTCGATGTGATTCACAAGTGGCAGCGGACGCAGGCGCCGTGGTTAACCGTATGTTATATATTGGAGTTTTAAAATGGGTTGTTCGAGATTTGCATTGACGGGAGACACGCCTGCCAATGTAGGACGCTCGATAAAGCATGTCACAGTTTTGGTTACTTGCAGTCAAGGCTTGATCAGAGGGGGAGCGGTATAAGGTGTGACAAGAGTTATCAAATAGGTCCGGTACAAGTATGACTAAAAGGAAGGAGGGGTGAACCCTGGCACTGCATAGAGCACACAAATGTTTACGTAAATACAAATATATCTATTTATTTTTAATTATCGTGATGTATAATAATAAGTCGCAAAATCAGGATCTACTAAATCGGGCCGAATTCTACAGTAATTAGATATCATTGGTCCATTTAGTTTGCGCGCCAAAGAATCAGACCGCCTGATTCAACCGCACACAAAAATGATATTCTCTCTTATTTATATGTTTTTTAAAAATGAAAGTACAGATAGCATCATAGCAATCTGTATAACATAAATACGTGTAAATATTTAAAAAAATACGCCTTACGTGTGTTGCACCGAGTATTTAAAGGTTTTTTTAGAAACGAAAGTACAGATAACAATCTGTATAACACAGTATTTATGACTTACGTGTGTACAATGAGATTATTCAAACTATAAATAAGGGAGGTACATAGATATAGATAGTAATGCTTACGGGGTCGTGTAATGATACACACAGATGCAGTCGTGGCACTTAAAGACGGCGCATACGATGTGGCTGGGATGTGTTGGATAGCGTGAGTATATTAGGTATGCTCGCCTGAGTTTACTGTTATGCAACTGTGTAGTGGATTAGATCGTAGCATATAGCATGCGACAGGCGATGGTCTCCCATTCGGAATCCTAGAGACACAACATATCGAGCACGTATTCATGGCTAAACCTTCGGTTATAAAGTTTGTCATTCGTGACCATTAAAATCAAACACGTCAGCTAAAGTGTAGGAGTCCGTCATCTGATCTCAAAAAGCGTAAGGCACACACAAACAACCACGATTTGTGAGGGCTATATCTTTACTTGTGTATCTTGGGTGGACTAAGCGTGGTGTCCCGGCACATTCTGTTCGAGTGCAAACTATCAGCGTATATCACAGCTCAGCTCGACTATGCTATACCGATGCGAAGCTACTTGCCCTCATCCAGAGACTATTGTCTGCGTGTACCGCGGGTCGCTCGTGTTCGGGTAATACAGCGAAAGCCGGTTGTGTTGGATGCACTTTCGTATACAACGGATATTGAAAGGTCCGCTAACTGGTACCTCATGCCGGTCCCTTTTTCAGACTAACAGGGCAGGGCAGCGCCAACCCACGAGGTCGTCCGGACGCGTCAGGCGTGTGCTCGTTACTATAGGCGCATGCCCACCCCACCCAACACACCCGGTCACCCAGAGATTCAGCCGTCGCACACACTCGCGTACAATACTAGGCAAGCCAAACACACACGTACACGTGCAGCTGCAGCCCAAGCGCCATGCTGCATTCGCCCGTATGGATAGGAAACGCACACAGTCAGGGCTCACAGCAACGGACGGCCGCTGAGCCACTCGGTACAGTATCAGCTGAGAGAATGCATGGGATATCTCGTCGCTCAGAGACAGCGCAAGGTGTACCTACAGACACTTGTGCGGAGCACTCCGGTGTGCGTATATGTATGTGTGTGAGTGTGTGCGCGGTTGTGTGGAGATGAGCTGTGATGACAGATGTGTGTGAAGCACACGTGTAGCGCCCTACACAGAGCCTGCCTACGAGTGGTTCCATACGAGAAAATGTAACTCCCACGAAAACACCAGAACGGACTAATTTAAGTATACATAAAGATCTGATCTGTATGTATGGGGCTATTGTCAGGCGTCTCCTATACACCGGCCACACGTTTGGTTGTCATGACAACCCCACGGCCACGACTCCCCTGGATCTTCGGCCAATAGCCGCACATGCCTCTGCCTGGATGCTCACATACACGCTGTTGTGCATATGCGTACCACTAGCTCACGGGCCCACAGGAGCCATTGCCCACAGAGACTAATGCCTGGGGCTAAGGATGCTTTAAAAGGGGTGTCGCACGGTGGTGTTGGTGAAAGCAGCTTGGCATACTTATGATGACCGTACCTCTCCAGCAACGTCACCCGTCTGTCCCAGTTGAGGCCACGGTACGACTATGTACATATATCTGTGTGCTAAGGTGCGTATCGAACTCCCTCTATGATCGTGTGTGTGTGGGTGTATTGCAGTGCGTACTACACATGCAAGATTCTGAACACGTGTATATGTGCGGCCAGTTCAGCGTATGTGTTGCGTATGTATGTATGTATGCGTGTGTGTGTTTGTGTGTATGTATGTATAGCTTGGAATCTAAGTGAGAGCTCTGGTGTACCATCCATCATCCAAGCGAACAACGGCTCGAGCATGAAGGAGCAACACATACGAACTCTACAGTAAGCGTGGTTTTTGAGTACAGGGCATGGCAAGCGGACCTGCCCTATAAATATAATGACCGGTCCTAAAAAATAGATCACGGGCTCTGTAGACCTACGGATAGATGTCCCAACCGGCAAACGGTGTACCTGATCCTGGTTGATCATTATGTCTATACCAGACCAAATTCGGCCAAGTGAAAGTGTAATATGATGTCTTTCACGTCCGTGAAGACGCGCTTGATGTTTGCCGTATCTGTATGCAAGCAGTAGAGAAAGTGATCCGGCGTTTAGGAACGGTGACGAGAGAATAGGACTACACACACACGCAGTTATATGCATATATATATATCTATCTATATATACATATACATACATACATACATATACGTACAAATACATACACATATACACATTAATATATATATATATATATATATATATATTTACGTACATATACATATATATATATATATATATACAATTCACGTACGTGGCTGCCGTTACAATTGAGCACACAAGGAGAACCTTATTGCAATGCAGGACGCGTATGCGTATAATATACCGCAGGGAGAGTGCGCATGTAAGCTTGATTTTGTTGATTTCACTCTATATTAACAAGTGCGACAGCCATTTGTGATATTGTATGACCGACATTTACCGGTCATCAATATGGGATACAGTATTCGCATAGAAATATACATTTAAGATATTCACACGATCACATACAACGTTTATAATGGCAAGTGTATAAAGACGCGTAGGTTAATATCTCCAGAGACTACACAATACAGTCACGTGTACTCAAGTGCAGGGTACAAGGTGTATGAAGAGATGCAGGCCAATATTATATATATATATATATATATATATACATACATATATATAGATATAGATATAGATATATGCAGGTAGGTACATACCGGTTGCTATGGTGAAATGCGGATACAGTCGTCGGGTCTCCGTTGCGATTCCAATGGCTAGGAACTTACTTCTGATGAAGCCTTTGGCATTTTCATAGTCACAGCCACCTGGAAGGTAAACATCAGGTTGTTAAGTACAGATAACCGAAAGCACTCGGATATAGGCGGCAAATTGAAGCTTGTCTGGCGTAGAAACACACCATATATATCGGAAACCGACAAAAAGAAATTCGCATTTCCAGTACAGTGATACTCAGATTCATAATCAGCGAGCCCATTGCGTAGAAAGCCACATCATACAAGTCGAGATAACAATAAACTGATGCCACGGTAGGCCACAGTAGTGTGATAGCGGTTACACTCACCATCATAGTCGTCGAAGTAATCACCCATGTCCGACACCTCGATCTTCTCTTTCAGTAAGTCACATTTGTTCAAAAACAGCACAACGGAAACCTGCAGAATGTGAAATTGGGATTCATAAATAACAAAAGGATGAAGTGACGATGAGAGATTTGTTGTGAATATCCATCACAAAGCTTCATGGGTTTAGGATTTGAACGGTCGAAAGTCAAAAGTTAAAAATATAATTCACATTTAATCGAACTACATCCACAATTATTTGGGTCCGCCACTAGGCTTCTGGGTGTACGGATCATTGTTTTAAGACGTACAAATGCATAACACAAATAATAAAAACAGGTAAGCACTGAGCAGTCAACGACTGCCGTTGCAGCTACACGTCGATATGAGTTGAGACGCTGAAGTGACTTTATGGGCTACAGACAACATTGACAATATACATACCAACGACACGGACAAAGGCATATATTTCTAGTGTATCTAGCATATCAGAGCAACACGGAAGACCACAGAAAGCGTTGTAGTATGATATTTAGGTAGGCAACCATAGGTACAAGCGCACACACCAAAAACAGTTACGCAGACACACATACATATACCCAGACCGCAAGTAAATAGCACAAATACAGACGTATGCAACCATCCATACAGATACGAAATATTGACGCGAAATGGTTAACTTTCTGCCGCAGTAGAGAATGAAAGAGCGTGCTCACTAACAACCGACGAGAATGCCAACCCTTGGTAATAGACACGCTCCTAAAGTACGTTGCTAAGCAACGTATAGACCCCCAATAGTCCTACCTGCGATAGCCACCGATTCTTCCATATGGAGGTAAACAGCTCAAGACTCTCCACCAGCCTGTTCTGGCTGGTGTCTTCCCGCAGATACTGATTATAGGCACTTGTGGCCACTATATATATGATGCCCGTGACATCAGCAAAGCACTGGATCCACTTCCTCCGTTCCGATCGCTGCCCCCCAACATCGAACATACTGTGCGGCGAATGAAGCGGATATCAGTCAGCAGTGTTTGACAGATATTCGGATTAAACCCGTAGTTGTGCTTAGAAGCGGTGTGGATATCAGACATCAGTTTTTTAAACACATTCGGATTAAACACATAATTGTACTTAATAGTGGTACGGATATCAATCATCAGTGTTTGACACATTCATATTAAACACAAAATTGTACTTGACAGTGGTATGGGTATCAGTCATCAGTTTTTGGCACATATTCGTATTAAAACATATAATTGTACTTGATAGTGGTATGGATATCAATCATCAGTGTTTGACACATACAAGTATTAAACATATAATTGTACCTGTAAGTGGTATGGATATCAGTCGCCAGTGTTTGACACATTCATATTAAACACAAAATTGTACTTGACAGTGGTATGGGTATCAGTCATTAGTTTTTGGCACATATTCGTATTAAAACATATAATTGTACTTGATAGTGGTATGGGTATCAATCATCAGTGTTTGACACATAAATGTATTAAACATATAATTGTACCTGTAAGTGGTATGGATATCAGTCGTCAGTGTTTGACACATGTTCATATTCAACCTATACTCGTCGTACTCATAATATGAGTGTATTCATCACGTTTGTTTGTATCCAGATAGATGTATACATGTATCACATTAGAGATCATATGCCCATGGCATCCGTATAACACTACTCCAATCGACCGCTGACGCCAAAGATAATACCACAGACAAGCGGGTCCAGGGCAACGGTAGGCAAGACCCAGCAAATGCTCATTCTTCTCCGCACACATTCTGCGAGGTCTACTAACAGTTGAACATGCGGGGTATATCTATCGATACACTTCACGACGACTATGACCAGCATGATATAGCCACGGCAGGTTCAGATCGAGTGAATCGTTGAACTCTATAGATACACTTTACGACGACTATAACTAGCATGATATAGCCACGGCAGGTTCAGATCGAGTGCATCGGTGAACTCTATCGATACACTTTACGACGACTATAACTAGCATGATATAGCCACGACAGGTTCAGATCGAGTACATCGATGAACTCTATGGATACACTTCACGACGACTAAAATTAGCATGATTTAACCACGGCAGGTTCAGATCGAGTGCATCGGTGAATTATTGTGCGCACGTACTGCCTATCGGAACATACTGGAATGTGGCGCCCTTGACGATGAATTTAGTTTCGAAGATTCCAGTGGTGATGATTCGTGCTTGTAACATATCCTGGTCCGAGGGGAGATAGTCTAGTTTCCTAATTCGCTCAATGTCATCAAAGAAACTATAAAGTGGATCATAATAAACAGTTAGGATGAGATTGATGAATTGGGTTCATTGGATTTAGCTGAATCCATGAACTGGAATGAATAGGACTATAACAAAAGAGATATACATCACTTTGCACAAATGTGCAGGTGCTGATAGAACATGGGTATAGATGCATCTGTACGCACGAATATATATGCATACATATATCCAAAATCATGCATCTAGATGTGCCTATCTATGTATACATAGAGAGATATTACATATGTACACAATAAAGTATTTGCCGGCGACATAGAGGATATTTGATCCTAGTACTTGTATAAAACAGATATATACACTACGAAACAGTGTAGTTATCTTGAAACTATATTCTCCAGTTTACATTGTTTCTCTATCCTCGTCATCCGCACCTATACACACTCGTACCACACACAAACAGTTTACACCAAAATCACCCCCCGCAACCCCTAGCCACACACTATTTGGTCGAATCCAAGAGCTGGTACTCGTTGGCCCTCCTATAGGCCTCCTGTATCACATCACTATGCCACAGTCTTTCTGCGCGATCGAAGAATTCCGAGTTTTCGGCCGTGACACTCCCATCCTCTGCCACGTTGTTCGTCATCCATTCCGTGTCCTGCCAGCACATGATATGAAGACTTTAGTACTGACTTGTATAAAGGTAGATGATACTAAATAGAAGTAGGGGTGGTTGTAAAATGGTAGGTAGTGCTGAGTGGAAGAAAAGTGGCGATCACTGACCGGGTTGAGAGCAGGTAGCATTGACTGCTGAAGGGAGCTAGATCGACTAGCGCTAATATAGGGCCTGATACGATGTTAGCTAGTACTGGCCGGTACAAAGGCAATTCCATAGTACTGAGTGGGATGAGGGTGGCTGATGCTGTCTGGTTTGAGGGTAAGTGATGATACTAGTACGAGAGCCACACTCTCGGGCGCGCAGGACATGGACTTCCGACCAAATTAACTACACATTCAGACGACCATGCCATCTCCGCGAAGATGGTTCAGGTGAATGCAGAGAAACCGAGCGCTACTTTAATGCAAAAACTCTGCAATAATGATTTGGCATTTGTACCCGTTATTGACATCAGTATTGAACAGATATATACTACCGCGACCCCCAAATGACCGCAACAGAGTCCGTTTTCTGTACACAAAACTGAGTGAGAAACAAAATGAGAATGGGTCTAAATCGCAACATCTACTGTCAGGTCTGTTCTGTATCATGGCGTATCTGTGCTAGTTTGGAGAAGCTCTCAACTGATGAGCCGGTTATACGTGATTCTCAGGCGTATGGGGGCGGAGCACAGTACAATAAAACATAATGCGCATGGCTCTATCAAGAAAAAGTAAGTACAAAGCACACAATATCACTATGGGAGCGTGGCGACAACCACGGAAGGGGTGTGCAACACACACATGATTTAACCATACGCGCCCACCGACGAAGAAATATTTGTAGCTGAATCGATACTAAGGGAGAGATTGTGGATACACGCACACAGAAGCACACACAGATACATGTACATACAAGTAGCCGCGCACTGTTGTATATACCTGCTGACGATACAAGAGCAAGCACTTCTCGAAACCTATCAGATATATATGCATACATCCTTGCACCTCCGGGCAAGCACACTCTACTCAGACAGGCACATGCCACGTAAACTTAACAACTATCCCCTCACACAAGCCAATATGGTTGATCGATTGGTTGAGTACACACCTCGATAAGTTGCGAGTCCTCTAATGGTATATCGGCCTGCTCAATAAACTCTATCATGGTCTTAATGGAATTGCAGATGTTACTATATATCGGCTTCTTCATCTGCTCGCGCTCTTTTGTGCTAAACCCAGTGCTGTAGATCACTCTCATCTGCTTGACGATGGTACTCTTCCCCGATTCCCCTGCCCCCAGTAGCAATAGCCGCAGCTGATTTTCAAAACTTTTCCTGTAGCGTTTCAGGTCTTTGTTGATCGCCTGCGATGTGGAGTTCATGGAGAATACATGGGGTGTCAGAACGCGAGTCACAGCGGCTACTGCGTGATTTTCCCGCAATGAAAGATGATAGCTATGTCGATGTGTCTATAGTGACACCTGTTAGTGACGTTAAGAGATACGAGACTACGGCATGCTGTAATATAAATGACCGATATTTCATCCTATTTGATAGAAATGATCAGCATGACACGTGATGCCCGTTGAGGGATAAGATCTGTGGATTGACACACACACTAAAACATGAATCCGTCTCAACTTACAATGGTACATACACACCCATACATGTAAAGAAAGATAGCAATATACTGTAGAAGTCATATCGAACGATAGGTAGTCATACACATTCACAAGAGAACGTCGCAAATATTACAAAAAATAGAATATAGCTCAATACGCACACACACACACATATATATATATAAATATATATTCATGAAACCTTGTACACACATACAGATACAAATATGATTTCAAATATATATATATATACATAAATACATACATACATATATACACATATATATATATATATATATATATATATATGCGATAATAATATTAACAAACAACACAACAACTAAAATACTATATATACTATATATATATAGTATTATATACATACAAACATACATAACACATAACGACTACATAGTATAATTCTATATAT